AGCCTGTATTAGCCTGGATTTGTGGAATGTGGTTATTACTTCAGTTTATCTATATGTTGTATTTTAACTTTTTTATATACAGATGTGATTGATCTGTTTGGGACAGTATATGGATCCATTAGTACTCTGTCAGCTTGATGTAGCCTTGATGAAAGTTAATATTTTAATGAATTATTGCTATCGACAAAGTTAGATGTTTACCCCCAACAATGGTCCTCCTTTGCAGGTCGGATTGGGTCGCAGGTTATAATCCCTCACCGCTGTGATCAGTATGACCTTATGTACTTCAGGCCCATGGGCGATCTTGGACAAATCCTTTTCCTGGTAAGATCGAGACTCAAGTGTACCTTACAGGAATGTTTCAGAGCTTATAAACAGAGGAATTATTCATCTACATGCATTTAGAGCCTTAAATGAAATTGTTGCAGGAGTGGGATCCCAGGAATAAAGACTCCACCAAACAGGCTTTGGAGCACTCAAATGTCGTCATCAACCTGGTGGGCAGAGAGTTTGAGACGAGGTATAATTAGAGCCTGGAATAACATCTTAAAGCATTTGATTACTTCATCTGAGAGTCATAATATAGCAGAGTTTAAATTTTAAGCGGCCTGCCTAGGTATAGGCAGATGTTGGGAGGATTTGGTGAATTTTACTGTGACTAGTAGGTGAGCATTTACACACAAGTATTTTCCCATGTGTTGTTTAAAGGAACTATAGCTTTGAGGATGTCTTCGTGACCATCCCTCAGCAGATTGCTAAGGCAGCCAGAGAGGCTGGCATCACAAAATTCATCCATATGTCTCACCTCAACGCTGACATACGCAGCCCGTCAAAGTACCTGAGGAACAAGGTAGTGAGCTGTTTTCTCCACATACTGTATATCTCTCCCAGTCAGTCAATCTAGTGTATTGATGTTTTTACTGAGGTGTGTACACATTAAAGCCAATGTTGCCTACATTAAAGTATAAAGAAGGTTAATATATAAATGTAGTTGGTCATTGTATGTAATACTCCTTTACTATAGGCTGTAGGAGAGACAGTAGTGAGAGACGAATTTCCTGATGCCATCATCATGAAGCCCTCTGAAATATTTGGGAGGGAGGACAGATTCTTCAACTATTACGCAAGTAAGACCAGGGTGCCAGTTTGAGAA